GGGGGGGGGGGGGGGGGGACCGTGTGCGCACGGTCCCCAGGGCGAACGGAGGCTCTGCCCCCGCATTGCGGATAGGCGCTGGCTGCCCGCATGCGGCATGTGCGCACCACCGCGCGCAAACGGGGCCGGCATGCCTCAGGGCCATTTCCTGCTGTCGCCGTCCTGCTTGTTCTCCCTGCCTCCGTGCGGTTCTCGGTGGCGTGTCTCTCTCTCTCTCTCTCTCTCTGTCTCCGCCTGCCTCCGGTGCCCACGCGAGTAGGCGGTCCCCCGGGTCCTCGCTCATTCTGTCGCCGGGCCGGCCGCTCGGTCTGCCGGTCGATGCCGCGTAGCGCGGCTAGACCGCGGCCGCTTGACCCTGCGCCCCTGATGCCCGCGATGGAGAGGCCTCGTGTGGGCGCTTCCCCGCCCCCTTTTTTCAGGCCGCATTTAATCGCCGCGCGCCAAGCGCGAAGATCTTTCCCCCCCTCGCACGGACACTGCCTAAGGTTTCTTGCCATCTCCCTCCTCTCCTCCCTCCTCTCCTCCCTCCTCTCCTCCTCCTTCCCCCGTTGACTTACCTCCTCCTCCTCCTCCTCCTCCTCCTCCTCTTGCCCATCCCCCCCCCGCCCGCCCGCCCGCGGAGGACCCGACCTCGCCCCCCGCTATCTCATCCCCCCAGCCACTTTGCACCCACTTCGTGGCCCTCAGTTTCCCTCCTCACACTCGAGCTGCCCGGGCTGGTCCCCCCTCCCTGTCTTGCTTCACGCACGCCCTCCCTCCCTCGTAGCTCCCCACCTTCTCCCTCCGCTCCTCCTTGCTCGCTTCCTTCCTCGTCCCTTGCATCCGTTGCATCCCGGCCCCGGCATGAACTCGTCCTATGACGGCTCCCCGGCGAGCGGCGCCCGCTCGGTGGTGGAAGCAACCAACACCGACCGTGCTGCCCCGACTGGCGGCACCATGTCTCCGCCCCCTCGGCACACTGTGGCCCTGGAGACCTCGCACCTGCTGAAGGATGAGCTTTTCACCCGGCCACCGGTGGATCTGCGCGAGGTTTGCCCTCCGGCCCTGGTGGGCTTGCGTTTGCTGGGCCCCTCGGGCAGTCACTACCCCCCGGCTCCCTCTCCCTCGCAGGTGCATGCTTCGGCCTCCTCCTCATCGGCCTCGGTGGCTGGCAGCCCTCTCGGCAGTCCGGCCATGGGGTTCTCCACCGAGTTCTCCCCGGCCCCGACTCCGACGACGTCCGTGACCACGACCCCGCACTCTCCGAGCAAGTCCGCCGGCTCCGGGAAGCGCGCACGCGCCCAAAGCCGCCAGCGTCTGCTGGACGACACGCGCCAGCTCATTCGATTTGTGTGCGAGCGTCCGCTTGACTCCGAGCAGGTGGCCGAGCAGACGGCCGATCACACCCCCGAGACGAAGCAGCAGCAGCAGCAGCAGCAACAAGCCGCGCGCCAACAGGCTACCCCGGTGGCCGAGCGCCCGCCCTCGCCGACCTCCGGCTCTCGTCTGATCGAGCCCTATTCCGACTTCAAGATGCGCCGACTCACCGGCGCGCTCTCCAATACGGTATGTTCCTGCGCTGCCATATGCCCCTGTGTGAAGGTGCTCATCGGTTATGGTCATGGCGTGGGGGTGGGCACGGTGGCGGGGTCGAAGGGCCACCTCCTGGTCCCCCTGTCTCCTCCATAACCATAACCTCCCTTCCTGTCATTGGCTTCGGTTCCCCTCTTCTCCCGCCCCCTCTCCCCTCTCCCCTCTCCCC